ACAGTTGCACCAACAGCAGCACAAAGAGAAGCAGAAGCAGGGGCTCCTTCAGCTGAAGAGATAGAAGAGCTGCTGCAGATGATTGCTGACAGACAGTCAGCAGCAACAGCAGCAGCAGAAGCAGCAGCACAAGAAGTAGCACAAGAAGCAGCAGCAGCACCTGAAGCGGAAGCAGAAACACCCGAAGCAGAAGCAGCACCCGAAGCAGGAGAAGCAGCAGCAGCAGCGCCAGCAGCAGCAGCAAGACGACAGTTCTAAAGCTGAGCGCTTTCTTTGAGAGATAACAAAACAGCAAAAGGATATAAATAAATTTAAAAGATTTGTTTTAATTGCAAAAGAAATATTAACCCTATATTCAGGTGTATGTACACCTCCGCAACAGCGAATTCTTTTGCTGTAGTAAGCAAACCCTAATAATAATAATAATAAAGCGAATGGTTTTAAGACGTACAGCACAAACCCTAAACCCTAAACCCTAAACCCTAAACCCTTGAAAGGGAAGGAGGAAAGCAGCGAGGGTCTGCAGTAACAGCAGAATTTCTTATTAAAATTTTTTTAATTCTTGCATGTATAAGAATAACGAGATCAGTACTAATAATAAGAGTGTTATTATTATTATTAATAATAATAATTATTATTTATTATTATAGTTATTATTATTATTTAGAGATTAGTATAAGAAAAGAATCGCTGGTTTAGAGGAAAGCATAAATAATACCTGCTGCTGCTGCAGCAGCTGCTGCTGCAGCAATTATTGGAGACCCCTTCCGTCTTACCTCGCGTTTATAAGAGACAGAATTTGTTTGTTTTTAATGCTTTTCTTTTACCTCCATTATATAGGAGACTCTCTCTACTATATATACTCTAAATATATATATATATATATATATATGTATATAAAGAGACAGTCTCTTTAAAATATATATGAATATTTATATGTATATATATATATATTAAAGAGACTGTCTCTTTAATATAAATACATATATATGTATATATATATATATATATGTTGTCTCTGTCTCGTTTTCTTTTTACTGAGGCGAGTGCTTGTCTCCTTTTGTGAGGGACGATATAAAATAATTTTATTTTAAAAAAATATATCTTTATTTGTTTTTGTTTAATTGTCTCTGTCTCCTTTTAAAGTAATTAGAACTGACTTGTGTCTCCTTAGCAAGCAAATAGCCAAACCTTAATTATGCTGTCTCCTTCTTAATAAACTCAATGAGGAGACAGTGCGACTCCTTATTCTTCACTGTCTCCTTTCTAAATTAATTAATTTTTTGTCTTTCTTTTTGTTTATTTAGATAAATCGCCGGCCTACTTTAAAATTAAATATTCTTCTGTCTCCTTTTCTAGTTAAAAAGATAAGACTCTCTTTCCTTTAAAAACAATACAATTATAATAGAGAGTTAGATGTATATACATATATATATAATATATAATATATATATATATATATATAAGAATGAATAACCGAGACGAAGCATAAAATATATATTTGTCTCCCTTTATAATTAGATAAAGGGCTGTCTCCTTTGCAAAGATCAAAGGAGACAGCACATAATATCTGCAGACTCTGTCTCTTTTTTAATTTAATTGAACAGATGACTGTCTCCTTTGGTTGAATTCGATATTCTTCTGTCTCCTCCTTAATTATATATATACCCCTGTCTCCTGATTATTATGAAGACATTATAAAGATAGATTAATGGAGATTAAGAGTAAAAGAAAGATAAATAATAAACAAAAATCTTTCTCCTTTGAATTATATAAGCCCCTGTCTTCTTAAATCTTCAAAGGCTCTCAAACTCATTACATTACCTTCTGCATCTTCGCACTCCAATTCTCTGTCTTGTTTAAACGACTGAGACAAATAAATAAATAAATAAATAAATACAATAAATAAATAAAATTAATTAATTTGTTAATTGAATAAATTAACAAAAATACCAACAAACAAACAAATACTCCTAAAGAGGAGAAAACAAACAAAGCAAACAAAACAAAAAAAACAAAACATAAGAAAGGAGACAGTAGAGACATGAAAAGGAGACAGTAGAAATATAAAAAGGAGACAGTAGAAACATAAAAAGGAGACAGCTGAAGCCCTTACATGTCCCTCAGCCTGTTGCTTCAACTTCTCGTACAACAAAATCGCATCTTCGATCTTTGTTATCTCCTGAACCACAAACCCTAAACCCTAAACCCTAAAACCCTAAACCCTCGGCGAGTAGGAGATGGAGATGGAGATCAAGAGAGACAGAAGAGACAAAATAAAAAATTAAAAAAAGCGAGAAAATGAGCAGAGACATAAAAGGAGACAAAAGGAGCAACGCAGCACTGCAAAGTAAGAAAAATGCTTCTAAGTTATATACATATATATATATATATAAATATACTTATATATATATTTTTAAACAGATAAATATTTACATTACTCATTAGATTAATTGATATTTATTATAAGTATTTGTCTAACTAATTATTAGTTTTATCT